TAGGGAAAGCCTTAATAGCTATAAGACTTATAAAGCCTTATAACTTATAGTTATAAAAGGCTTATTATAATACCTTTAAAAGGTAATACCTTAAAAGCTTAGTACTAGTTAGCTTATAATAATCCTAGAAGTAAGGAGATAGTAGTAAATAGAAAGCTTATTAGCCTTTAAAGAGTAATACCCTAAAGGCTAGTATTAATAAAGGTATTAATAAAAAGCTAGTTAGCCTTTAATAGGTAATACCTTAAAGGCTAGTACTAATAAAAGTATTAATAAAGAGCTAGCTAGCCTTTAATAGGTAATACCTTAAAGGCTAATATTAATAATACTAATAAAGAGCCTACTATAATACCTATAAAGGGTAATACCTTAAAGGTATAGAACTAATTAACTATAATACTTATAAAGTAGCTTTAGTAGATAATATCTTAAAGACTAAAGGCCTTAGAAGTATAATACTTCTAGAATAGACTTCTAGAAAATTATAACTTAGAAGGTATTTAGTATAGTTTTAAGTAATATCTATACTTATAAAAGGCTAGCTTTAGTAATAGTTTAGTTATAATATTAATAGTATTCTTAATACTTAGAATTTAACTAAAGCTTAATTAATATAATATATTCTTATTATATAACTAGTAGTATTAAATATTTATATACTTTATATAAGGGTATTTTTAGATACTAGAAGCTTAGGTAATAATATTAGAGTTATTAGTCTAGATAGTAGTCTTAGTATAAGTAGGCTTTTCTTTAAGGGTTTTTATAATAATATAGTAAAACTACTAAATCTAGATAGCTTCTTAGGCTATATTATATTAGGAGATATACTCTATTTTAGTAGTTAAGTATATAATAATATTCTATAGCTTTAAGTACTAGGATATAATACTACTCCTTAAGGTAATAATAAAGCTATTAATAAATTTATATATTTATTAGTAACTAATATAATTAGTATTATAATAGATTTAAGGTCTTTTATTAAGTCTTATAAAAATAAGTTTATAGTTAGTAATACCTTTAATATATTATAAAAGCTATTTTAGGCTAGTAATATATTTTATTAGTAAGGTAGTTATAAATCTATAGTAATAACTAATAGTAAAGTAAATATTAAGCTTAAAGTAGTTAAAAAGATAAATTAAGCCTTTATAGGTCTTAGTATATTAGCTATTCTTAATAGTTAGCTATTATTTAATACTTTTAGTAATAAAACTTATTAGTAGGTTATAAGGTTTATAGTTAAGAAGGCTAGTTTTTTTTAAAAAGGCTTTAGTATATCTACTTTAAAAGAGTATAAAGGTTCTTATATATTAATCCTAATAGATATTAATACTAAGATAATAACTAATAAGGCCTATATTTATTATCTTATAAGTATCTAATAAGGCTTTCTTAATCTTTATAATAATAACCTTATTCTTACTAATAATAAGAAGATTATTAATATAAACTATAATAATTAGGCTATCTTTATAGATAAATAAGGAATAATTAAGCTATATAGGCTTAAAGCTAAGATTTTAAAGTATTTTATAAAGGGTTATATACTAGATCTATAAGGCTTACTTTAGCCTATATAGGGACTTTAGTAGCTTCTATACTTTCTTAAGGTATTCTTCTTAATATTCTTTAGGTATTTTAATATAAACTTTAATATCTATAAGACTATAAAGAAAGGTAGTCTTAATATCTATTTACTTAACTTTAAAGTTTAAGGTAGCTATAATTACTAATAATAGGTATAATATTAAAATTTTTAATATACTTATAAATATTTTATAGTAATTAAGTCCTTTATATTAATTAAAACCTTTTACTATATACTAGGATTTCTAGTAAATAACCTTATTATTAGTACTTTTTTTAAGTTTATATATTTACTTACTTAAAAAGATAGTCTTATTTTTAAGCCTATTAATTATAATTATAATATAATTCTTTATTAAAGAGTTATACTTATTTACTATTAAGCCTTTTTATTTTTATAAGTTAAAGTAAAGAATAACCTATTTATATATTATAGGTTTTTTATTATAAATAAGGTTATTAAATATAATAAGGTTTATTATATTATTAAGATTAGAGTAAAGTATATATTAGTAGTTTTAAGATATTAAGATTAATCTAATTAGAATTTTAATTTATATTATAAGTCTTTCTTCTTACTTAATAGTACTACTTAAAGCTAAGAATAAAGGTATTTTAAAGAGGTTAAATAGTATCTTATTAATACTAATAATAAAGATAAGATATAAGGTTAATTAAATATCTAATAATATTAGTTTAAATTTATTATTATTTAGTATATATAAATAGCTAATAAAGTTATTATTATTAGCTAGGTTATAAATATTATTATCTTTATTAGTAATTCTTAATACTATTAATATAGAGGATATAAAGGGTATTATTTACTTAGGCCTTATAGTTAAGGTAGTAAGTATACTATAGTACTTTACTATAAAGCTCTTACTAATAGGTAAGTTATAAGTAATTAAAGTAATTTCTATATATTCTTATCTCCTACTAATTACCTATTAACCTAAAGAGTAGTATATAGTTTTACTTTTATAGCCTAAGGTAAGGTTATTCTACTAAAGAAGGTTATATTTTAAATCTTTAAATAGCTAATTAGGCTATTCTTAGAAGATAATATTATTAATAACTATTAGTTTATTAAGTCTATTAATATTTAAAATAATATAGTTAGTTTAGCCTTTATATTTAATTAAGATATATAGAATAGTTTTAAAAACTATTCTTAGAATATAATAAGAGGTCTTTTACTACTTATAATTACTTATAATTTATAAATAACTAAGGTTAGGTTTATCTCTAAACTATAATTTATAAGGAGTTATTAGTTTATTATTCCTTATTATAAGAGTATACTATTAAAGAGTAGTATAGGCTTATACTATAACTAGTTAGAATTTAATTA